ATCACACAAACCTTGTAAATGACTGTGGTTGGTCTAGGACCTCACCTCTGTTATTTAATTTCATTGTACTCTGAAAGAAATACTATACATGACTCAATAACATAGTCATTATAATGTACCTTATTTATAACTTTGGCTAAAGGTTAGCATATTAATACATTAAATAAATGTCTTGAGTTTGCGTAATATCAGTGTGGAGCTCAATATAGAAACAAGTAAATTCAAATGAAAAAAAAGTTAGGTTACTGATTGAACACTCTTTTGCTTGTTGGATCTCTCTTCTCTTTCTTCTGTGGTTCACAGCTTATATGCTCTATTCTAAGTGCTGCAACTGTATGGTCTTTAGTACTTGCTCTCAGATTATATTTAATAGAACTGCAAGAAATTGGTTAGCAGTGTAGGCTAAGTATTTCAATTTTCACAGTTGTATAAATAAACACCACTGGTTACAGAAAATGCGATAAGGCTGGTTTGTGTATGCAACAGAGTATACATGATGCTTACAGTATGTTCCAAACTGACAGCAGTTCAAGTCATGAAAAATCAGTTTGTGTGCTTATTTTCTGAAAAATCAGTTCATGTCGTGAAAAATCATCTCACATTATGATATTGCTGAATGATTATTATATATATAGTTTTTCCCTCCAAAGCTTATTTTTTTCCGTATTCTCATTTTTCAAATTTTGTGTCTTTGATGTCAAGATTATTCATGCACTTGTATCGTGTTCCAGGTATGGGTTTTATGATGAATGCTTGAGGAAGTATGGCAATGCCAATGTGTGGAAGTATTTCACCGATCTCTTTGATTATCTCCCGTTGACAGCACTAATCGAAAGTCAGGTCTGGATGACAAATATACATATTCCTTTATTCAGAATTCAACATCTCTATTATTATATCTGATGACTTACATTTGTTCTGTAGATCTTCTGTTTGCATGGAGGTCTTTCACCCTCCCTTGATACCTTAGACAACATTCGAGCTTTAGACCGTATACAGGAGGTATAAGTCTTGTATGTGGTGGTGTATTATTCTTTACTGCATCTCAAATTTCTCTCTCCAAACATATATAAAACAATCTTCTTCGGTTTGATCTTTTTTTCCTATACAACTTCGCTTATCAATGTGTTTGTTGGTTGACTGGGTAGGTCCCACATGAAGGACCAATGTGTGATCTCTTATGGTCTGACCCGGACGACCGTTGCGGTTGGGGAATATCACCACGTGGGGCCGGTTACACCTTTGGACAGGACATAGCTGCTCAGTTTAACCACACCAATGGTCTCACTCTAATTTCAAGAGCCCACCAGCTTGTCATGGAGGGTTTCAACTGGTGTCAGGTTTGTACATAGATACATATATATGTAATATAAAAAGAATAAAAAAAAATTATTATTATTAATAATCATTTCGTTTCTGATTTGTAGGACAAGAATGTGGTGACAGTTTTCAGCGCTCCAAACTATTGTTACCGATGTGGGAACATGGCTGCGATTCTTGAAATTGGGGAGAATATGGAGCAGAATTTCCTCCAGTTCGACCCTGCACCTCGGCAGATTGAACCAGACACAACGCGCAAAACTCCAGACTATTTTTTGTGAACTCTCAGGTGCAGTTATTTTACTGTAGATGTGTTTGTCTTAAGAGAAAAAAGGATTGTTGTTTGAGGATTATAATGTCTACATCATTCTTTTGTTTTGGGGTTTGCTCTACTCCTCGATTTGGTTATGTGCTCAAGATATTTGACGGAGGGTTTACGCGACCATCGAGTATTTTCTCTTTGTATATTTATTTTATCTTTTTTTTTTCTTGGGAGAGGAGAAAAAGGAATGATGGCATGGTATATTGATGTTCTGTAATTTATTTTGTCCTTGGAATTGTAGGAAGCAGTTTTTCTAACCTATGTCAGTTTTCCACCACCTTTCTAGTTAACTAACAAGTATCCGTATGGTGTTCAACTTAAAATACATTTATTCGACTAAATCTTTTCTTGGCACTTTCCGAAAAAATTCAAATTTCTTATGAAGTAGTTCCAGTTACGGTCAAAATAACAAATCGAAAAAATGGAATTTTAGAAATTTGAAATTTCCATCACACCAAGTTGAGTAATCACTGTTTCACAAGTAACAAAAGCACATACAAATCTAGGTTGAGCTATTACAATTTGTCGAGAATCGACTTTATATATAACATTCGGGAACCACTTCCACATAAGATAGCTCGTTTAGTACCGACTCAAATAGTTAATAACAAAACGCCACAAGGAATTTGTAGTTTGTGTGAGTTGTAACACCACGTATAAAAGGAATTTACAACACCCCTTCACATTATAACAAAAAAAAAAAAAAGAAAAAGAAAAAAAAACAGTTTATGTAAAGTCGTAATTCGTAGTGAAACTTAAAACCTAGGATTAGTTGGGAGCCTGACCGGTGCACCACCTGCTGCAGCACTACTTCGTTTCCGCCTCACATATATAAACGAGCCACTGCTTACCAGCAAAGCCAGCATTATTGCCTGGAAAGAAAAATAAAGACAATACAAATGAATAGAAGATGAACTCAGTGAATCGAACATATCTCGAGTAAGTAATTAAACGTTCATGCGAACTAAAGCGGAGTTGGTTAAACTTGAAGAAACTGGTTCTCTCTCTCACGCAAATAGCTAATCCCAATAATCCATCGTTAGAGATAAATTTCGTATCTACCGACAAACAAGAATACGCTCTATCAAGACTCATTTTCACTGTTGTCAAAACGAAGTTCATTAGCTCCTTTAACTGCCTCGTTTCCCAATCTTTCTAAACATTATTTCATCAATTTTCCTAACGTGTAGTTTTCTTTCCTGAACACGAAAAAACCAATCTCAGCCTGTTCTGTTACTCTATTTTCGTTTTGATGTCATATAACAAGCGATAAAGAATTTATTTTACTATAACAATTCTTATAATACCATCAATACATTTAACTTTCTCGTTTCAATTAAATCCCTTCGTGTATATGTTTCCGAAATATAACCACTACTTTATATATATTACTTCGATATTATTGTACGAACTTACCTCAAAACCAAGCACCGACAATTTTTCTTCGTTTACTGCAGGTATACAGCTTCTGTAAGTGGCATAAGAACCTTTCGATTTGGACGAATCACTCTTCAATCTTCTTTGCCTAGACGAAGAAGTGATTTGCTCATCAGACTCGAGAGTGGATCGTTTTTCCTGCGCCTTTGAACTTTTTGCATCTTTCGAATCAGAGCCGGAGGGCACGCATTTCAAGCGAATGCGATATCCGGTTTCGCCACAGTGGTATTTTTCGTCCCTCTAAGAAACAGCATCAAACTAGAAAACCTTAACACACTATTATAATATAGGGAATGATGGGGCAAATAAAATGTTGTGCAGAGAGCATAAAATTCCAGTTCCGATTAGCTGAGTCGTTTTCGTAATCCGACTAATTACATTCATGCCATCATATATATATATATATATATATATATATATATATATATATATATATATATATATATATATATATATATATACCCACAAAAATTAGAAACTCTATAATCAGAAGCAAAAACCAAATCCTAGCGCGATTCTGAAAATTAATAGCATATTAACACCCAAAAAGAAATACACACACACACACACACACATTGAGAGAGAGAGAGAGAGAGAGAGAGAGAGAGAGAGAGAGAGAGAGAGAGAGAGAGAGAGAGAGAGAGAGAGAGAGAGCAGGCACCTTTTCAGAGCGAGCGCAGGGTATGCAAGGGCCCGAAGGAGAGCAATCGAAGGTGACATTTCCTCCATTTGGGGTTTCCTTAATACCCATCAGACTTCTCCCTTTCATTGCTGTTAATTCTCTGTAATTTTAACAATCATCAATTCATAAATCAAATCTCACAAACAGCATTAGAATTCGACATAAAAATCCTAACTTTACATAAACGAAAAAGAAAAGGGTTTTGACTTACGAGAGCGATACTTGGGCGGATGTAAATAACAATAGAAAGAAGACGAGAGGTGGTATTAATGGCGGTCCGATAGAGTCGATCATTTTGTTTTCCCTCTGTACTTTCTTCTTCTCTGGTGCGAGATCTTGGGTGTTAATGGAATGAATTCGCAGATCGATCTCTCTTTCGAAATATGAAATATTATATATACGACCCCAACTGATTTTGTTCATTCCATTTTGGTCCCTGTAATGTTTGATATCCTTATATTGTTCCAAATTTCTACTTACGGTCTGACCTCGATAAATTAATAACCTCGTTAAAATAATAATTTTTTTTATTTCGATTCGGTAAAAACACTCTAATTTTTTAGCTCGATTATTAATATTTCTATAAATTAATAAAATTTTACTTGTCCCCACTATATTAATTTATAGAGGTTTAACAACTGTTTTAATCGACAGTTTATTTTTCAATTATTGCATGGATTAATGATACATGTGCATAATTAATTTGGCCCATGAGAATAATTTAAATTTTTACATGGGTTAAAAAGTTTTAAATAAAAAGCCCAAATAAGCAAATTCATATTGCAAATACGAAAGATCTCTCAACAAACATTTGCACTTAGTTATTATCAAATGAAGATTTAATTTTGATAATTCATCTCAAGAAATGTAAATATACTTGCTGGAAATTGAGTTATCAAAAAATTAATCGCCTAAACATCCAATTAGAAGTTGATATGTGGCAATTACAAATAAAACTACCCATAAACTTCCAATTGATAATTAATTTGCTAACCATGGTTGGAGTAGATGTATTTTAAATTAATATTAAAATATTATCTCAAATATCAAATGAGTATTTAATAACTCAAATTACTGAGTTATCTCTGTCCGAATAAAAAATGTGAAAAATATATATATTTTTGTCTCTCTTTCTTTTAATTAAAATAAATAATTGGAATTATTATTAATATCCTACAATACACGTGTCTGCTCCTTTGCCCCAAAGGACTATTAATATTAATTTATTATGCTCGTAATAAATACAAACATAAACTATGTCTGTATCTGTTGAGATGTCAAAATTGGAGGCCCTTTAAACGTTCATATTGAATAATAATATATTTTCCTTCTCAAAAAAAAAAAAATAATAACAATAATAATATATTTTCCATTAACAGAGAAATCGAGAAATAAAAAACAACAGAAATCCCACATGACAATTATTTATTTAGCTACAGACAAAGAAAGAAACAACACAGAGATCCCACACGAGAACAAACTTAGTGAAAACGACAACCACTTCCACAGATCTCCTTACACTGTACAATAATAATAATAATACAATCATCAACTATCCTCCAAATTAAATAATCTAATCCAATCTAACTAAATCCATCTTGAAATAAGAACACATTACTGAAAAGTAGTAACAACATATTACCCAACTTTACACCACAAAGATCACTATAAACATTTTATCATATAATTAACAACTTCCCATCAAGCAACACTAATGATGCTATCCCCACCACTCCCATTAAAGCTTGAGGAAGCAGCTGGCATTGCTTGGAATGCCGACACGTGCCGTCCAGGTGGCGGCTGCTGCTGCTGCTGATTGGACGGTGGCGATTGATGTGAAGATATCGACAAATTGAGCGACAGAGATGGAGGCGGCTGCTCGAAGGTGGTTGTGGTCGTGTTGTTTAGGTTCAGGTTGGCCATTTTGGTAGATGGAGGGACTGGTAAAATAGGAATTGGCCTGATGGGCTTTGGTGAATTGCTCAGCTGATTCAACTGTCCAAGTGTCAGATTTTTTTCGATCGGATTTTTTTCGTTAGCGATCGGTATTACTAAAGGTGTGATAGCCATAGGAAAAACAGAAACGGGGAAGCTTTCGAGATTTTGGCTAAGGTTGTCTTGTTGTTGTTGTTGTTGTTGTTGTGTTATTATAAGAGGCTGAGGTAACTTTTCTTGATCTTGAATTGCAGAACCGACAACCTGTTGAGTACAAAACGACACGGAGTTAAGAAAGACAAAATAAATAAAAAAATACCGAAAAAGTCGGAAGCAATAAAACCTGCAATTATCGACGAAATCAAGACTTAAAAAATCCAGAGATAAAAGATGATCAGCTGCTATTGACCAAGTTTATTACTTTATTGTAGTGGAGGGGCTACTAAAACTTATTATTGCACTAAAATTAGGTTGCTGGTGATAATGTCACAATCAAGACTAGGTCATATGCAATTATTCACTAAAATAATAAGAAATTAATGCAGATCCAATTCCAAACTGGTCCTATTACTTTTGTCACTACTACTCTAAATTAAATGAAATGAACAAAAATAGAGAAATTCCTATTTAGACACAACCGTGGGACGGAATTAATCATCGAAACAGAGCAAATACTCAACATAGAAGTATTCAATTATAACTTTAAAATGATAATTTTTAAAATAGGGGGATTTTTGGAGCATACTGCGTCGGTAGTTATGTCGAAAAGACTGGATCTCCGGCGCCGCCTGTTGTGGTTGTTCCGGCGGAGGAAGTACTTCTGAGCATGGCTAGCAACTTGAGTAGGTGTTCTTGTTTTGACATAGTTCCTTGAAATTCCTCTCCAATCTCCTTTCCCAACGTTTTGCAGACCCAGCAGGAAAAGCCTGTGTTCCTCTTCACTCCATGGCACCCCTACGTAAATAATCCCCAAATCGCAAATCAATTTCCAATTTTCCACACAAAAAAAAATAAAAAAAAATCATCTAATTGAGTTAAGATCACATTAATTTTAAAATCAATTGAGCAAGCGATTTTACCTCTTTTCCGCTCGCGGTTTCTGCCGGAGGGGTGAACGACGTCGTCGGAAGCATACCCGGCGGCGGCATCGTTGGTGGAATCCTGTGGCTGCTGATCGTACAGAGCCAAATTGTTCATACTAGCACTCTTCCTAAACGATCCTTCCATCATAACTCTCACGCCGAACAGCATGAAACCCTTACCGCCGCCGCCGCCGCTGACCTCCGAGAACGTCCGCGGGCTCTGGGCATCGTCCACGGCGGAGTAATCCGAGCATCTGCTCTCCATCGCCGTCATCGCCGTGAAGAAAATGAAGCTTAAATTCGGCCAATTTGCGATCGGGGGAAGGAAAAATGAGAAGACGAAATGGGGTTTCTGTGTGGTGATGGAGAAGAAGTTATAAACTGTTTCTAGTTTACGTAGCAGTGAGGGCTTTGTTTTTGTTTCAATGTCCAATCAGATTTTGATGTGTTGTCATCAACTTTTCATTACCCAGGGAAATTATCCGCTGCTTCGACGGTGCACCGTAACACCTTCTTATAATAAATATTACTAGGCCAAGTTGGCCAAAGTCCAAACTGACATAAATCTAAACAGTCGCGCATGTTAAGTGATTTAGGCCCTGAGAATATATATTTCCATATAAACACTAAGAACTCTATGGAGCAGTCTCTTGAATTCTCTGAATCTTCTATTATACAAAGCTGATTTGAACGTCGGGACCAATCTCGGCGCCCTAACGACCTTTGTGCCAAAGAGTGTCAGGGAGGAATTGCAAAATGTGACGTGGAATCGTACCACATCATGCTTGAATAAATCAGACGAAGTCATCGGGTTTCGAGTTTTGTCCAACTCAATTTATAGTTTTAATTTATTAGCTTGGGTACGGACGACTCATGATCGAATATCGCAAACGCTTAGTGTGTCTCTCGTGACACCAATTGATTTTAAGACAACTGATAGCGCATGAAATCCTACAATTGATATCAGAACCAAAGTTAACAGATTCGATTTATTTTCTAAAATCTTCGATAAACAAAAGAAATGATAATATTTCATAGAAAAGGAATTCAAATTAATTGGACAACAACAAAGTTTCATGAAAGATGAAATTATTTTTGAAAAAACATCAAAGGGCATCTTATCCAAATATACGATAATGTTTTACTTGGTGAAGAAAGTCTCTTTTGAATATTGAAAAAATAAAGTCTTATTTGAATAAAGCGTGTAACATCGAATAGTGGGTGTGGTGCACAAACACAGGATTATTCCTCCACCGAGAGTTGAGTTGTAATCAGCAAACAATGATTTATTTAGAAAACACCACGTAATTGACAAAATTTTGTTTGGTTGCTTGCTTATGAAATTTCCAAATCAGAGAGAGATGATTCTAATTGGAGCTGCTAAAAAGTCTTGTTTGTAATATCATATATTATAATTATTATTTTATTTTTCAAATAAAAAAATAAAATAATAATAAAAAAAAGGGGATGGTGGAGGAGAAGGGTGGATTGTATACCGTCAAAAAAGCATATTCCCTCGAGACTCAACTTTATATTTGGGGATGGATGGATGGCTTTGGCTAAACACCATTGGTGGTGGGTGGGATTTGTGAGGATAAGCCCATTTTTGACCCCACCCACCAATATCCACTTTCACTCACTTCTTTTCAATCCATCTTTTTTTTTTTTCTTTAGTGATTTTTCTTTTATTCTTTTCTAAATTATAAGATTATTAGATGCCCTTTTTACTACATTTATGATTTTATAATTAGTGAAATTGTACAATGAAATATTATTTGATGAATGTAAATCTGCAGTCAATCATATAGGTTTATGGGGTAAACTTACAATCTCGTATTGTAGATTACAAATCACACGAGAGACGACTTAAATCACATTAGGTTAATCATATGTGACAAGGTCGACATAGCAACCGCTGACAAAAGAGATTTGAATCTGGGTCATTTGACACATGCTCACCTGCTGCTCCAACCGCTAGGTCATTCCTTGGTGGACGAGTAACGTATCTGAGTTGTATTTTGATCGAAGATGCCCAATTCAAAGGTCTCAGACATAAATCCTCGTAAAAAGCTCATGGAAAAAAAAAACATAATAAATTAGGAAGGACTTGGATCTTATTAGGATATATTGCATGCACTTTTACTCATATCTTTTGAGATGGAACAAGAGTCACTTGACCTAATTAAACAGGTGACTAAACCACTATTAGCACTATCTCATATAAATTATAATCCATGTGTTTTTTTTTTATAATTAATTTAATGGAATTTGAGAAATCCTCAACTCATTTATCATCTTCTAGAAATATGTAAATTGCGTGTAATAGTGTCGATTAATATATGTTGTCACTTTCGCAAAAGAAAATATCGATTTTACATACTCAAATAACGGGATTTATGTTTCAATTTGACACTATTTTACAGTACTAAGACATGACTGTGGTCAAAATCGTAAAATTGCTGGTCCCGCCACTGATCTTGTATTATTGTATATATTATACATATACTAATTTTAATCTTGCATTTAAAAATTAGTTAGTTATGTACTCTTTTTACAAAAATATTGTTGCTTATCTTCTATATATACATATACTTATAAAATGATCATATGTATTGTAATTTATATGAATTGTGGTCCTAATAAATTGGCATTAACATCAAAAACTTTTATAGTGAGAGCGATTTCAATTTTGGTTAGTTGTGTTTGTATACACGTGAATAAAAATGGATTTTTGAGTTGGAGAAAATTGCAAAGGCTGTTTCAACGGACCATATTATCGTCGACTTCTCCATCGTTAGAGCTCCACAAGAATCGGGTGGTTGCTACATGTCACTTTAAAATTTATGACGGTGGACCAATTAAATCCCTCAATTAACATTTAATTATTGTAAGGTTAAAACATATTTTTTCTGTAGATTCATTCGGTAATATCATACCAAACTGTACCAGAATTTCGGTGCTTCAAAAAATTGTATTGCTTATTGAACCGAACTATTCGATTCGGTACGGTTTTGTATAGAAATTTATTCAATTTTTTCGGTTCGGTAATAAAACCGAGAATAGATTTTAGTATTTTTAAAAATGTAAAAACAAATATATTTTTTAAATTAATTAATTCTTGAATTTGACATTCAAATTTTTAATAATCAGCCCTAAAAGTAAAATGTGATTATTATCAATAGAGGCTAATTTGTAAATAATAGGAGACAATATCAATCTAAAAGTTTTTATAATTTGTTATAACCTTAAAAAATTTGAAATAAAATAATTTAAAATAAAAGAGAAAAAATAAATATTTATTAAATATTTTGGTATTCGGTACGGTGCGGTATACTAGTAATCAATACCGTACACAAAATCAAATATCGGAATTCTAAAAAATCTTTACCGATTGGTGAATTTTCAATTCGATATTTTCCATGTACCGAATTTTCGGTTCGATTAGGTTAGGTCGGTTTACCGGCCGAGTGAACACCTATAGATGCTCACCATCTAGCCAAATGGGACAATGGTATGCAAAATTGTGAATATTGAAGTTTATAATATAATAAAAATAGAGTAAATTTTTGTTGTAAAATAAAGAGGAAGGATGATAATGTCTTAAAAAAATAAAAAAATGTTATAATTGATAAAGTTCTATTTGGATGTAAAAGTTTTAAGTTCAGAGTTTAGGGTCCAATTTTGTTTAACTTAGGAAACTAAAGGACCAAATTTGAATATATTGCATTATCCAGGGATCAAACGGTGAAGTTTCTGTTTGGATGTAAAAGTTGAAGTTCAGAGTTTAGCGTCCCATTTTAGTTAGCGATAGGAAACTAAAGGACCAAATTTGAATATATGGCATTATCCAAGGACCAAACGGTTAAGGCTCTGTTTGGATTTCATCGTAGTTGCAATACTTCCAAAAAAAAAATAGTACACCAACCAATCTTCAATGGAGGCGGGAATTCTCCTCCGTTTAGTTGTTCCGTTTAACCCACCACGTCGCCGTTTCACTTCCCGCCGCCGCTCAATTAGGGCTTCTCTCAACCCACAGGTACAGTACAATACACGCAATTCATTCATTCCCTTTTTATTTGCTGAAAATTAACTGAAATTCTGTTCAAAATGGAAGGGAGGGTATCAAGGGCCGAAGCCGAAGACCAATTGGGTGGCGGATTGGGTGTCCAAAAACGACGACGTTGCGCGGAGCTTGCCGATTTACGTCGGCGGCGTATCTCTGTTGGCCGTGCTCTTCAACCGCACAGTTTCCGGCATTGCCTATGTTGCTGACGCCAGCAGGTAGGTATATTCAATTACATGTTGGTTCTGAATTTATTTAATTTCCTTAGTCACGTTTGATTCGCTTGATTGGCCTTGATTATTTTATCAATCAAAGATCAATTTTTTAATTTGGTTGTGTTGATTGGCCTTGATTAGTTTATCTCTTCCCTTGATAAGGTTTTTGAAGTAAAATACTAACTTCCCAAGTTCCGAGTGTAGTTCGTTTTACGAGTAAATTGATGCGTATTCTACTTGCTGATCACTAATATAACGAGCATCTGTCGCTTGATAGTGTTATCTTTTACATCATATTTTCTTGTTTATCGTTTGTATATATATACAATGAGTTATAGCTATGTGCCCCTCTAAATTTTGCTGGCAGTTCACAGTCTCGAGCGGATCTTTTGACACTTGGTCTAGCTGTGACTAACATTTTAAACGGTCTTGTGTGGCTCTCGATTCGCCCGAAATCTATTTATGCGGTGAGGAATCTTTATATCGATTCTACTTTATTCTCTCTCTCTCTCCCTCTGAGATGGTTCTTTAGTTTTAGTTTTTGCAATTGCACAAAACATTTTTCAATCTTCGATGCTTAAATTTTCAGGTGAATCCCAATGGGGTGGAATGTCGAAGAATACATCCTTACCTTCCCGATTCTGTCGTTTCCGAGTTACTGTGGTATCTGTCTGATAATGCACTTAATCAAGAATGCATTCATGAATAATTCTACGTGCTGAAAATTTTGAAACAGAATACTTTTTATTCTTGTCGATTCTCAGGGCATGGGAATCTCTATCAGATGTTACATGCTGCAGGTCTCTTGTTGTTGTTTACGATAGCATCTGCATTTTGCAAATAGGGTTTGCTGATGTTTCTCAATCAAACGGAATCGAACCTATTGTCGTAGATGCTGACAAATTAACTAAAGGACCCCTTTATAACGGTCTCGCCAAATCTGAATCACGTGAGTTTTATTCTTACGACAAGCCATCATTTTCTTTAACAGCCTTTTGTTGTTGTGTTAATTTGAAGAAACAAAACATTTTTACCGTGTTTCAGAAAGTTACTTGGCCAACTTGTCACTGTATCCTGGGAAATCGGAGCTTCCGTTTCTACCTTCGAACACGCAGGTTTATTTTGTTTCCGTACGTTTTTAATTAAGTTGCTATGCATACCAGTTATTCTGAAATAATTTATTCTGGAAATATTTGTCGTTTTCAGGCAGTTATATTGCAACCACTTGGTGATAAAGGAATTGCAATAGTTGGTGGCGACACAATTCGGGGATTCACTACTTCCGACCAGGTACCTGTTTTGTTATAGTTCTTTTTTTCTCGTTTCTTTTCAATCTTTATATTTTCTCGATTCGACAACCTGTACATACATCAATGTGTGTGTGTGTGTGTTTTTTTCCAGAAATGCATCTTTTGCCTCGTTATCATATAGTCTTTAATGGTGGAAATTAAATTATTTAAATGGGGTCTAGGCATGGATCACATTAATCGGAGAGAAGTTAGACGCTACACTGGCAAAAGCCGTAAATGTAATGCCATTGACACCGCAAGAAAAAAGCTGAACAATCGAATCCAAAGCCAACTTATAATGCCTGGTGATCACATTCTAAGGTATTTTTTATAAACACGAGTTTATTTCCAATACAACGCACGCTTTTTATGCTATATATGCCGTACCTACTTTGCTGATTGATAACATGGATCTTTATGTAATATAAAATTGTAGGGATGAACTTTCATGCTGATGATGTCATAACAAGAAAATCAAGCTTCATATTCCAGGTTTTTTTTCTTTTCTTTTTTTTTTTTCTTTTTTTCTAAATTACCGATTTGCTTGTCGACGCTTTGCGTTTGCTGTCATATCATGTTTTGTTTTTCATCAGCATGGCAAATAGAGATAGTTAAGACTGCACTGTTTATATCTCCAGTTGAGAAGATGGCTCCATTTTTAGCAGCATCGGGTATTTATTTATCCGAGCAAGATTTTGTGGACCGAGTTTCAGTTCCGGGCCGAGTTCTGTAGTCGAAGATGCTAATTATAGACTGACCCCTTCAAAACCATTGGACATCATTTTTGCTCCAAAGGATTTTCTACTGTAAATCCTGGTGGATTTTGTATTTTTTTTTTTTTTTTAATTTATCAAATGTAGTGTAACATGCTTTATATAAATTCCATTAATTCTGTAATCCAAAAATTACATCCCTCCCAGAAAGAATTACAGCTATCTAAAATCCTAAATCTAAAGCTACAAAAAAACAAGAATCTGAAACAATCAACAAAAGAATATGACTATTATTTTTCTTTCATTTACAATCAAGTTGATCAGTCAAGAGCAGATTTCACCTCCCAAGGCAACGAACCAGTCGAAAAATCAGCCAAATTCGACAAAACAAAATCCCTAAGCCCCGTGTCAAAAACCTCACAGAATCTCCGCGGCCAATCAGGCGGCTCCACGGCCTCCCGCCCCAAACCGGGCGCCCTATCTCTTGAACCCTCGTTTTGATTCTCTCCCCAATCAACAACGTAAGTAGCTACTCTCCTGTAAAACTTGGCCCTGAAAACCTCCCACACTTGGTACTTGTAGTGATTGATTACAGCCACACTCTCCGGCAAATTCAAGTACTTGAACCCCTTCTTCAGATGGAAATGGTGCACCACGTTCAAAAGGGTTTTATCCAGCGCATCGGGCCTCACAATTGATTTGTGCCTCTCTGGACTCTGTAGCCTACACGTGTACCCCACCGTAACTCCCTGTGTGGGCCTCGATTTCAGCCCCGACGGTCCAAAGCTGTGGCAAGTCGTTCGTATTTCTCCTATATTACTACCACCGCTTCTTGACGACGATGATGATGACGTGGATAAGTTTGACACTAAAGTTCGAAGCGAGTTGGGTCCCGCGTAGCCCAAGTTCCGGAAGCTTTGGTGCCCGCGAGTCGAGTATGGGAAGTAGAAGAATTCGTCCACATCCATGAAAGAAACCCAATGGCATTCGTCTTTTGCTCGAAGGGCACAATGGGAAAACCCCGCTTCTTGAGTCTTGATCCACGGCCATAGATGCCTCGTGACGTTGAAATTTTCATTTTCGAGTTCTTGGACGACGTCGTCGATCACATCATCGCTATTATTATCGTAGATGAACCATCTCTCAACTCCGAGCCAAGCATGGTACGTAATCCACTCTCGAATGGCGGAAGCCTGGTTCCACACCATAGTACACACGCAGAGCTCGTATTTCCTCCTACTCTTTCCGTGGAACCCTAGATTGGAAATCTTCGCCACGGAAGGTATAGTGAAATCTCGGCCGTTGATGCGGTGCCTCGATCCGACGGTCACACGAACGCCTCGAATATGATCGGGATTTTCTTGAATGCTCGTCGGCAACGAACACCTCACAATCTCTTGAGCGGCGGTCAAAGCCTTCGTTTTGAGGATAGAGTTGCCATTCTTGTCCTGTTTCCGCAACCAAAAATGGCAAGTGAATCCGCTTGGATCGGATTCTTTATCGGCCCTCAGATTCAATCCCTTCACAAACACGATTACTGTGCCGCCATCTAGGGCTGCGGCGTAGGAAAGATTATCCCAAGAACAAGAATTCAGTGTCCGATTACTCCTGAAAAAGATTCGATTTTTACCACGCCGCCTCAGATTTGGGTCCGCCGAGTAATTCGCAGATGGGAGTGGGCACCTAATTACAGACCTAAAATCATCGTATTTATCTACAGAAAGCACCTTTTTAACAGAGAAATTAAGGCTGCTGAACAGGGTTTTGCCAGAATAAACGCACTCGAGTTCATCAGTGGCGGTGTTCTCGGCGGCCACCAGTAACAGGACGTGATCGGGGAACAAAACCCGGTTCTCAATTTGAAGTGGGAATGGAAAACCGGCCCCCGGTTTAGAAGTGGGGAAAGTAGAAGAGTTGGAGGAGAGTAAGGGTAAGCTCGAAACCACTAAAACAGGGCGGAACAGAGACGAAGAAGTGAACGGGATTTTCGTGTACGATAAAATACAGAGAAATACGAGGAAACTGAAGCACGAGACGAGAGATCTTACTGACAATACACGCACGAGAGAAAACGGCAGCGGCGAATCGGAGTGGCGGAGAATGCGTTTTCTCTTGCGGCGTTGATCGGAGGAGTTCATGTTATTTTTCTAATTTCTGCAGATCTGCCGCCGCGCGCCGACAGCGGTTGTGGCGTCGAATCTTCTTCTTCTTGGTGATGGTGGTTACCTTTATTGAGGTTTAGTAGTATTGCTCCGGGTAATCGGGTAAAATGACGAAATGTTTAAAAATATATTTTTATATTTTGCATTTTATCAAAAAAATAAGTAAAATGAATGTGTTTTTAAATCTTAAATAATGTAAAATTACAATTATATGCGAACAGTGGTCCAGCCCACGCCTGCTTGCCAAAGCTGACTTTTGTGTGGAATACAGACACACACGAACGACGTCGTTTCAGAGATATATTTTTCGCTTGGAGTTTCAGTTTTGTTTTTATTTGCTTTTCTTGGCATGCCTATTTACCAAGACATCTATTTTTCTTTGTTTCTAATTTTAGTAACAAATTATGGTGACTTATAAACCAAAACTAACTTCAATGAAGTTATTATTCCGCAATATATATATGTATATCTACACCTATTTTTGTATGAAATTTAATTACAATAATAATGTAATTGATAAAAAAAAAGATATAATAGTGGTTGATTATCCCCTAGTAATTATTTATTCACAATGAACACAAAAAAGTGGGGACAAACCAAAAGCTAAAGCCCTCACTATGTATGGACACTCTATTCTGAATTATTAATAATTATTATTACCATTATTATTTAGAACCTTTTTTATTGGGATTTGTCATTTAATTGATAAATC